GTTTTGGCAGTGGGCACCCGGGCACAGACACAGGCACAAGTGAAAGGAAAGCAAAAGCACATCTTTGGCAGACATCAGCCGCGGCAAAGCACTTTCACTTCAAAGCAGGCGGCATAATTCGATCGATTTGCTGACGCTGCTGTTACTCGCTTGTTAGCGTTTTAAGTTCAAGTGCATCAGTTGATGTCTCTCTCTCTCGCTTTTTATTCACTCCCAATTATCCCTTTCTGCTGCTGCTGTTAACAAGCCAGCAGACAGTGAGCAGTCAATCATGGGGAAACGATGGTTGAACGCCAATTGCCAACTTTGTTTTTATTTTTTTCTCCTTTTCTTCTTCTTTTTCTTTTTCTTTTTCGTATTGTTTCTTTAGCACCCAACGCACACTTTTGTTAAAACATTTTTTATTCGCACACAAACCACTTGCTCATTTCGTTGTCGCCAGCCCCCTCTTTTCAGGCTATTTGAATTGATTGAACAGACCACTACCAAAAAGACGATACTAAACAAGAAAGATAGGGAGAGAGAGAAAGGGAAAATTGTGCGAGAGTAAGCTGAGAGCCGATTAGCACTTTTGGATGTGGTAGTCAAATGTCGCTGGGCGACAGAGATGAGTTTAAGTGTGGTGTGTGTGTGTGTGTGTGAAAAAGAGGTGGTGGTGCTGATGTACTGAAGATGTTCGGAGGTCAAGATTGACTAAAAACTTTTTTTGCCATTTCTTTTCCCCCTTCTGTCTCTTCAACATTTGTCCGCCTAATTAGCGCCAACTAATTGTTTCCAGGCACTGACGGACTGACGCGTAAAAGACAAGTGCTGTCCGTTTTTTTGATTGGACGCATTGCCATTGGTTGCCCCCTTCGTTACTGTCGTCTCAAAGTTGGTACTGCCGCTACTGATGCAATGACTAGGCAATTTTACCTGTATGTTAAAGAAAATAAAAAAGATATTCTAAAACTTGGGGTTAGTAAAAACTAATAAAAATACATTTTTTAAAACAAAAAAGTTTTATTTATGAACAACTGATCAATGGTAGTGATGAAATTGGCGGTCACTGTCAATGGAAACAACAGCAGTAGCACTGCCGTTAGTGATGACCAAATGGATAAAAAGTATAATCAGAGTGGGAGAGAGAGAGCCTAAACTACTTTCAAGTAATAGCGGTCAGCCAGAGCTTCCTATTGTTTGTCAGAGCAAGTTCGAGTACATCACAGATGGAGAGAGAGAGAGAGAGGGAGACTCGATAAAAAGCAAAACAGTACCAGCTTTGAACAGTAAGTGTGATGACCATCAATCAGATCGCTCTCTTTCTCTTTCTTTCTCTCCCCTTTCTTTAAACAAAGCGTCTGCCGTGTAAAAGTCAACACACACATGATTTGTACACACTGCGCTAAACACTGCGTGGTGGTGGTGGTTTGTCAGTTTGGTCTGTCGGTCATCAGCCGTTGCTCGGACACAGAGAGAGAGAGTGAGTGAGAGAGAGAGAGGGAGGGAGAATCCGACACAGAAAGAGAGTCAACAGACAGACAGTCAGTCAGTGTGCAACAGTGACCACAGATGATGAATCGAGGTAACCGCCAAGGTAGCCAGCAGTAGGCAGCAGGGGCGCACACTTCCTGGTTGCCAACTTTGGGACGAGGAGGCACACCGAGAGGGGAAGAAAAGAAAGAAGAAGGAGGAGGAGGACTTTTAAAAACAGTTGCCAACATTGCCATTGACATTTGGCCAATTGAGTTTGAAGCAACAGTGCTGCGTCCGGTAAAGCCGCCGCCGCCGGCGCCGCTGTTTTTGCCGCCATTGATTAGTCTCGTCTCTCCGCTGGGCGCCAATCAGTCACTCTTGAACTTGTCCTCAGCTCTGCAGTGCACAAAGTAAAGGCTTAACAGTGCTGAAGTCAGTCAGTGCTGGTGAGTCATCATCTCCTGCGTGAGCCAAACAGGCAAGATCCAGTGATCCAGATCGATTGGAAACCAAAGGCAGACAGCAGCAAAAGTACTGATGCAAGAAGGTGAAAAAACAACAAGTGTACAAATGAGGTGCACTCATCTGCCTTTTCTTTTTTCAACTTTTTTTATTTTTTGCTGTTGTTGAGTGAACTGGCATTCAGCCAGCCAGCTACTGGACCACTTAACCTTAACAACTGGAGAGGGAAAGCCAAAAAGACAATTTTTGACTGCACAATTGCCCAGCACCACCACCGCCGCCGTCACCAGCATTTTCCCTTTCAGTTCAATTGTCCTTCTTATAAAAAAACATTTGAGTACACTTTAGTTTTTCAAGCGGCAAAGACGCGCGCTCGCGCGCGTGTTAGCTCTTCACTTATTTTTCAAAGTCACGTAATCATTCTTTCCTTTTACCTCAACAGTAGCACTAGTAGTAGTAATAGTGCACACTGCCGGTCTGTGGTCTTGCCGTACACTTCACATTTGCCTGCCTGTCTGGTCACACAGGTGCAGTTCACTCAATATAATCATTGACGTCCCCTCTGCCGTTTTTCTTCATCTTTAGCTTCCCCTTGTCATTTTTTGCCCTTTTTTGGACGACCATTTTAGGCGACGACCACTACTTGAATTTGAGCTTGGATTTGCCCCTAGCACACTTGACCTCGAGAACTACGCTCACTTTTTTGTCTTCTGCTCAGTAACTACAACTTCAAAATAAGTGAATTATTGTAAAAAGGCACTTATTCATACTTATTGGTAAAAAGGTACAATTTACTGTGCCATTAGCTGGAAAATAAATTTGGGTTTTTTGGGTAAATTCCTACTTGGGTGCTTTTAGTGTTTGCTATTCTGCATGCAACACACACATAAATGCCCACAAACACGCTACCACTTTGTCAATAAAAAACAGTGCAACCTACATTCTTTTCTTATCTGTACTGTATCATGATCTACTTTCTTCCTGCAGTTTAACTTTGTGCTACTCAACTTTTTGCCTTCTGGTCTTCAAATCCAAGTCAAGATCGCCATCATGAGCTCAGCAAAAGTCTCTTCTTTCTTTCTCTTCCCTTTCCTGGCTATTGTCCTCCACTGTTGGTGCCAACAACAGCAAAAAAAGTCTAATCGGCCGCGTCATCATTCGAACTTGGCTTAGCTTGAAAGGACTCCCACTTTGGCTATGCTTAAAAAGCGACGGCGACTTCGATCTCCAGAAATTAGCGATATTACGATCTCAAGGTCTCCTGCCCTTCCCCTCACTGCTGCCTCTTTCTGGTTCACTGAACACTGAAGTCACTGTCGACTGTGTGAGTGCTTCAGTGTGAGTGTACAGAAAATAAAGAAGAAGAAAAAAAGTGAATCCTATTGTGCGCGACCGGTCACTGGAGAAGAGTGAAAGAGAGAGAGAGAAAGAGAGAGAGAGAGAAAGAGAGAGAGAAAGAGAGAGAGAGAGAGAGAGTGGAAGCCAAAGAGAAAAACTTTGTTATCTTTCTTTGCTGTTTTTTCTCCCTCAGTGAAACTCTATTGACAGACGATTAGCGTAGACAAGTTCGATTTGCCGTTGACCAGCAAAATTGCCGCTACTGGCCTTCTCCCGCACACACACTTTCTCTTTTAAATCTTTAAAATCTTTTACCTGCTTCTGCTCTTTACCATTCTCTTTTTCTCTCTCTCCCATTTTATCTCCTCCTTTCTTTTCTCCTTGTCTTTGCTCTTCTGCTTCTCCTCCTCTTTCTCTCTCTCTCACTTTTTGTAGGCACAACATTATCGACAACTAATTTTGTTTAACATTTGAATGGTCAGTGGCGGTAAACCACAGTGTAAAAAAGAAAAAAAGATGAAAGTGAAATGGCACAAATGGCTGCCGTGGAACAGACAAATAGAAAGTCTTTTTGCAGTGTAGTCAACTGTTGGTAATATAAAAGTGGACAGTTACTCCTTGCGAAGCGGTCATTTGAATGGTGCACTGATGATCAGCGACAAAGATTTCCGTTTATAATTTGATTTTTCTTGTGCTCAACAAATTGTGCCTGTGTGTGTGAGTGTCGCCAACTTCATTGTGCCGTTCCATCAAGTGTGAAGTGGATAAATAGCTGTTATATTACCTTTTGTGATACCTTGTCCAATGAAAAAGCTACAACTTTCCAAATACAACTTCCTTGCGGCGACAACGGCGGCGGCATTCAAGTCAGCCAGCTAATGATGTCCAGTCGATGATCACTGATCACTGGTATTCACACTACCTTCATTTTAAATAGTTAAAAATCTGTGTGTTTTTGGCAAATTTTTTTTGCATTTTATTTCTTTTACCACACTGGTTGCCTTGTTCCACCGACCATCGGTTGCGGCAGTAGCCGTTGTTACCCAAATGAACCTACGCCACTATGGTGCTTCTTGAGAGCTTCAGTCAGCTTCTTCACGTGCCCATAGCGGGCTACAGCAGTGCTACTGCCGGCCACAATAATGCTGATAACACCAACAACAGCATCAGCAGCAGCGGCAGCAGCATTAGCAGCAACTGGCCGCCAATTTTTAATCACCTCGTGACCAGTCTTTGGCCTGTTTTTCCACTCAGTGGCAGTGACACCGCCGGCCTTGCTGGAGCACAAGTCATCGCTGGAGAAGGTGGTGGCGGCATCCGCAACTTCACCTCTGCCACCTTTGCCCTTCGCTACCTGGTGGTGGGCACCGTTCTGGCGGCCATCGTCTACCGTCTGCTCCGTCAACGGGCCCGGGTGGTGGAGTTGATCGACCAAATACCCGGTCCTCCGGTGGACCCCTGGTTCCCCTGGCTTGGTCATGCCACGCTGGTGCTCGAGTTTGACCGGTGCAAGTTTGAGCATGGCACGTATGCCTGTAAGTCAAACAGGGGAAAAAATTATGCTGCTAACTACGGATTTCACTTTTNTGGCTTGGTCATGCCACGCTGGTGCTCGAGTTTGACCGGTGCAAGTTTGAACATGGCACGTATGCCCGTAAGTCAAACAGGGGAAAAAATTATGCTGCCAACTACGGATTTCACTTTTTATAATTCTGTTTGGTTTTTTTGTTGAAGTAATTTATCAAATGCTCACCTCAGTCAATAAGATCTACAAAGGTGAAGGCATCTGCAAGATGTGGATCGGCATGAAGCCGCTGGTGATGCTCTACAGACCAGACGACGTTGAGGTAAGAATGAAAACAAACAACACTAATTTTTTTGTAAAACTTTTAGATAAATTGTCAACAAATTAACCTCCAATTATTGACACTCATTTTACCACACCATCAAGGTCATTCTCAGCAGCAGTACACTGACGCAAAAGTCTGTCGAGTACCATTTTTTAGACAACTGGCTAGGCGAAGGCCTGGTGACTAGCTCTCGAGCTAAATGGCGCCTTCGCCGTAAGATCCTCACGCCTGCCTTTCACTTTCGCATTCTCGAGGACTTTCTGCCGATCATCAACGAGCAGTCAAATGTGCTGGTGGCAAAACTAGGCGACCAGTGTGATCAAAACGGCGATCAGTCACCACCACCAATCGGCGAATCTACCACCACCACTACCTCATCTGCTCCATTTGACGTCGTGCCTGTGATCACCCTCTGCATGTTAGACATCATCTGCGAGACGGCGATGGGCGTCAAGTTGAATCTGCAGGCCAACTCTAATCACGAGTACGTCGAGTCACTGTACAACATCAGCCGCATCTTCCTCATCCGCCTGATGCGCCCTTGGCTGTGGCCAACCATTACCTTTAATCTAAGTGAGCACGGGCGAATTTTCAATCGGTAAATAGAATTTTGTTACAGATTTTGCGCTCTAATAAAGTAACAAACTTGTTTTTAGATCTGTTCAAAATACAAAAGACTTTACAATGAAGGTCATCAAGGAGCGTCGTGATGAGTGGGTGCAATGTCTGGAGGAGGACGTCAATGGTCAACCTGGCAACATGTCAGGTAACGTCGACAATCTGGATGCCATCAAAAGTTCGACGTTTTTTGCAAAGAAAAAAGGAGCTGGAACTGGCTCATCAAGCTCCACTAGACTTGCCTTCCTTGACCTCCTTCTCCAGCATCATCTGGTGACAAAAAAGCTCAGTCTGGAGGACTTACGAGAAGAGGTGGACACTTTTATGTTTGCGGTAATGTGAAAACAGAAATAATGTTAAGAAGATAATGATAGCTTAATGAAACTTCTTTTTTTCTGTCACTTTTTTTCAGGGTCACGACACCACATCGCACGCCATCAGTTGGACGTTGTACATGCTGGGCCTGTATCCGGAAGTTCAGGCCAAGGCGGCCGAAGAGGTGGACCACCTCGTCGAGATGGAAGGCGCCGACATTAGTGATCTGACAGTGGAAAACCTTAAATCACTAAAGTACCTTGAGTGCGTGCTCAAAGAAGTGCAGCGAATCTACCCGACGGCACCCTTTATTGGGCGCGAACTCAGCGAAGACACCAAAATTAGTAAGTGTTGCGGCGTAACGCACAAAAAAATGTTTTTAATGTCATTAATGTTATGAAACAACTTTACACTGTTTAATCGACCAGACAACTACCTTGTACCGAAGGGCACCACTGTGGGCATCTTCACGTACGTTCTGCACCGAGACCCAATTGCCTATCCTCAACCGGAGCGTTTTCTGCCGGAACGCTTTTTACCAGAAAACGTCAACGGCCGTCATCCCTACTCATTCATTCCGTTCTCGGCCGGCCCGAGGGTAACCATTTTTACTTTTTGATTTAATTTTTTACCCATATCAAATGATCAAAACCAAAATTGTCATTTGTTCCAGAATTGCATTGGGCAGAAATTTGCAATGATGGAGATGAAAATGGTAATTGCAAAAATCCTCCGTCACTATCATCTTCAATCGGTGCAGCCACGCGATCAACTGGTCATTGTTGGGGAAATGATTCTTCGCTCACTTAACGGCCTCAAAATGGTCTTCTCAAGACGGACTCAAGTGCAAAGATGAGTTTCAGAATACTTAAAAGTTATTATTGTTTGCACACTTTTGTTTGTAAATTACACTATGCCATAAAATAAATGTTGCGTGTTTGTGTTTAGTAAAAACCCCACCAAAATTGATGTTTTGATTAAAATATTGATGTTTTACAAACTATTAGTGATTGACAACAACAAAACAGCGTGTATTTCAAAACAATTTTTAAATTTGGTATTCTAAATAAAGATGTCACTACTGCAGTTGTATTCATGCAATTACAAAATTTTCAATTTACAACTTCACGTTTTTTATTTTCAGTTAATTTTAGGCATTTCGTTTATGTGTTAATTTT